ATGCGTGTGTGTTTGTGTGCTACATATACGCATATTTGGATACATTTGACCATAGTTGTCTTATTGTCTCCATGACTCGGATATTTTTATCATATTTGTCAGAAAACTTACTATCTGAAAGGAAGTGCAGAAAGTGGTCAATGCAGCCTCCAGCTACATAGTAAATATATACACGAACTCGAGATGTTCGATGCATATCTAGTTTGAAGCGCACTATAGGATAGAGCGGGCGTGCCACTAATGTTGCACTTATACTGCGAATATCCATCAACCAGTTTAATTTCCGGCATGATACGCAAACAAACTGGAATAAAATACCTCAAAAATACATATGGCATGTGTAAATGGATATTGCATTCAATTGCGATATATTCGTTATATGCCAGATTTTACTGTAGGTAGAGAGCGTTTGAAAGCACAGGTAGCTCGGAGTGCGCTTCCCGATCGATTGAGAACTCACCCGCTAATGAAGAGGCCATCCGTAACTTCTGATACTGTCATTTTGATGTGCGTCGGTTCCGATTACGATAGCTTCTACTTCAGTCGGGATTATATATACTCTTGCTATTCAATACTTAGCGTTCGTAGTGATGTTCAATAAGACTTTAGCGAGGCTCTCTCCAGCTTTGCAATAGGTTTTTGGCGTCCATTTCTGATTAATATTGAAGACACGTGTACTGTATTATAAAAAAAAAGCCAAAATTGACCAATCGTAGCAAGTTACAAAACCCGCCCGTTCGAACAAAATGAATGCGACAATGGCACCATACATTGTCATACAATGCAGACATTTATAGTTACTGATGTATGTGCTCGACTGCTGTATAGGATTAGCTATTGAATCGTTTAGTGTGCCTATTGTACTTGTATGTAATCAGTTAATCAGGGGGATACTATCTGTACAATTTGAAGCCAGTCTTACCCGAATTATAGGGAGATTCGGGGAGATGCAGGCTTTACAACCTCAGATAATGGCGGATTTTTGCATGCTTGCTATAATTGAAATTGCATTAATCACGGTGCTTCTCAATTGTTCACTTGATACGTGTGAATCAAAAATCGTGGGGCTATCTGGCGATATTTGTTGAAACCCTTCAGATATGCGTTGGGCAATGTCGTACACTGGCAACTTGTCTGACAAGCTGTTACAATACCGACTGAACGTCGTATGAAACAAAACGTATGTGCCTCTTTGATCCATCCTGTTTTCGTCTGTTTTGTATTGAACATCAGGGCTCAAACTGCTTTAATTATCAACAGTATTATTGTCAAATATTGTAGTGACGGAGGCGCTCTCAACCTTGTGATACTGTTTTAAGAAAGTGGCGCACAAATACTATGTACAGTGTATACATTTCGTATTCATTCTATTCAAAAAAATAATAGTCAAATGTCTAAAGAAACATCGTTCGAAAATCGAAGCGTGAATAGATAAAAGTACTCAATTTTCCCGCTCACGACCTCAAGGGGTCACGCCCCTCGCACTCGCAGTATCACACTCTCCCTCTCGGCTTCTTGTGTGCGTAGACGCTGATTGTTGGAAATGCCGCCAACGCGCGCCAACCGCCACATTTCACAAGAGCAAAATGCAATCTTTATTTATTATTTTTCCTTTCACCTTCTTTCGTCAAATCGTCTTCGACTTTGACCCCAGACGCCGGAAAACTGAAAAGTGGCTTTTTTTTTGTGTGAATTATATTTGGCTCGAAAAACTGTCGACTACTGCTAAGAATGATGTATACAAATTATTAAAATTAGGGCAGCCAATGATATATTCGAAGAAATTACGACCAAGGGAGAACCGCAAAACGGCAAAACAATAAACATCACAAGTGTGTATGTACTGCTCATAATCCTCTATAGAAAAATAAAACAATTTGCTTGATCGGACCAATGTCCAAAGAACATATTGTACACGAAGTACTCGTGACGCTATCATACAATCATTCTAATAAAATAATCTGGCATAACTCACAAGTCCACAATTTGTTGCTCTTTGTAGAATGTAGATCCATTGGATAAAGCCGATAAACCAAGAGTGAATACTGAATACAGTGGTGCTAAAGCAATTTTTTTTTGGCTGGTTTTAAAATATACCAATCAGTCAATCAACCGACCTCTGGTAAAAATAAAACAAAACCCTCTGAATCTGATAGTTGGTATCATACCGTTGTTTGAGGATGACATATAAACGTTAAACTGCCAACACCGAACAATCAAATAGTTATATATAAAAATATCAACACTCAATGCGATTTTATTGTAAATTGCCCGGCTGCGAATCGGCACATACTATGTACACAAAATGCGGTACAAAGCATGAAGTCGAGATCGAGAAACGTGCAGGTGGAAAATTTGGTGTGGATCTTCTTAATTTGGGTCATGAATACTATGTCACCAAAATCGCCACAGGCACCAAGTATCCCGCTTATCGAAGTGGGCTCTCATTTGGAGACAGAATCGATGGTATAAATTATGACGATATGAGCACAATAGCGAATCCAGTAGCACACTTGAGAGCTACTGATTCCGTCGAATTGACATACACACCAAGAACTGCCTTATAAAGGAGATTCTATTGACCTCTACTCAGAACGTGAATGCTACTCTGACTGATTTGAGGAAGAACTACGTTACAGTATTGTCAGTAGAGAGTGTCTGCGTACTTGGCAACAATAATGCTGATACGATCATAAAGAATCTGGTGGAGACCGCTGGTCAGGCCACTATTCTTGTGGTGGAAACGCAGAAGGGGAAAAACTTTATAAATGGAATCCGCAATTTGCACAAGACGACGAAGGGAGTGAGTTTGAGAGACTATATCTCATCATCCCTCCGTGCAGATTACGGTATTCCTGTACCCGTCATCACCAAACAGCAAAAACTCTCAGCATCTACAAATCTATATATGACACTTTAATAAAAGAAATTTTTTAACATTAATACAATATGGTAAGATAAAGTATCGTTTAGGGTACTAATAAAGCCAAAAGTTGAACATGCTGCATTAAGTTTAAATGTTGTGATCAAATTGGTAAATGCATACTTTTATAGCTGTGTCTGTAAAATGAATTTGTCTGCTTTAGGATCTCTTGCTACACTCTGTATTTATTCCAGGCTTGGTAGTGTATATGACACTCTGTCAAGTGTTATAAAGCATTTGGTACAAATCCTTTCTCGGAGCTGGGCTTATTTGTTGTATGACGGGAGAAGGACGTTTTTTTGTTTGTTTTTTTCTCCCTGTTCCGGTGTTCCCTCATGTACACCTGAGGCCGAGGGTCATGTATAGAACAAATAATCCTGTAAATATTGTTACCTGTATTTATAAGTATTTACACATAGCCTTCTAAAATGTTTTTTTAGAGGGCTATGATTTACATGCATATTTTTAAAATATGGTGCACTCGCGTTTAGATTGGGTTCGAAATCACCCTAAATAGCGGAAATTGCTTAGAATGACCCAGGACTTAAAATCACCCGGACAGATTGTGGATTTTGTGTCTCAAAAAAAAAAGTTAGCTTGCTCAAAATTTGGAATATATTGTCCGTTTTTCAAAATTCGAATTTGGCACTTTTGAGGGCAGAAATCGACGTGCCGCATCATCAAAAGAAAGCCGACGCAAGGCTCAGAATTTCAAAAAGTTCAATTTTTACAGGTCATTTTGGGGTCATTTCTCATGATAGTTTGAAAACGTATTATGTTTTATTATCGTACCAATATTTGAAGGTAGAAACGTATACGTATTGCAGCCCGACACCTATGTCACATTTTGGTCGGCACCATAGAGGGGTAGTGACATGTCAAAATGTGAACGTTTTTTTTACGACGGCTATGGCTTCCTCAGTTCCTCCCGGACCGCACTGTATATTTTTTTATTCCCAATTTCAAATTATTTCGGATAGAAATGCCAATTCTAAGAATCCATTTCGAACCCTTTCTATCCGCGAGTGCACCATAGAGTGTATTTAGACTTTTTTTGTGAGACTGCTGTACAGCGTACACCTAACCTCGTGAAATTAAAAGTTACAACTTTCAATTTTGTTTGTTTTTTACGTTTAAAAAGGACACCTTTTATACATATATAAGCCCTTCTCAAATCCATTAGGTGCAATATTCAGGTCAATAAATATATACATTTTGTCCTGTTTTTAGGAGCCAACTACCAAATGCTAACTACCAAGTGCCCGGTTAAACAAATCGGATTTGCTCAAATTCATTTTAGGCCTAAAGTTTAAAACCTATAGAACAACTTTTCAAGTGCAAATTTAAAATTCATTTACATTATTTTGTCCCAAATAAAAGTTATAACTTTTATATTCCAAAATATAACTGCTAAGGGTTTAACGTTTATACAGTGACCCCATAACTGTACAGGCCGGCTGTAGAGTGTATTTATTTCAATAAAATAATTATTGGAGTGGAGAGACGAATCGGACGATGGTCATCATGAAATACTCCTTCTCATTATATGATAAAAATAAAATTTTGATGAGGCTTTGAAGTTTGAAGTAGTTTGTCGTTTGAACCCCCTGGTGATTTTTATTTCTTTATTTGGCCATAAAGTCATGGCCATCTAAATAAAATGGTTCAGTTAAAATGGTTCAATTAGGACGGGCTGATTCACTGATTTGATCAACAGACCTAAAATACTTTGATATTTTGTTGTTTTGGCGGAGTTTGTCACCGATATTTGTTTGTTTATTTTTTGTGTAATATTATTTACAAAACCCCTTATGTCCTGTAATCTGGTCTATTATTAGTAGTTGGGAAGCTCGTTACGTGTACAGTACATTTTTTAAGAGATAATACTACGTGTGTAGAGCTTTTGCATGCATATATCTCACCCGGTCACCGGATAGTCGTATCATATACACACAATATATTTACTTCTTTATCATACTACGTGTATCATATACACGCAATTTACTAATCTATTATACTAGGTCGCAAGATAGTTCCATCACTTACACACAATACACTTACATAGCACCTGAGTAAGTATGGACGGATTGATAACCTTTCACATTATCGAGGCGGAGCTGCCAGAGGGTTGCAAGGCCAACTGTCGCCTGGAACTGAACGGCAAGAATGTGTCGAAGTCACGTGCTTCGCCTGAAAGTGACAAGCCTAAATTCAACTATCACACTTCTGTTTTGGTAGGTTATGGATATATGTTCGAAATCGATCAATCTGATATTGTATCTGTGTATTTTCTGAAATTGCCAAGCCCAAGTTCAATTTAAAAACTTTTATCTTGGTACATCATGGATAAATGCAGTATGTGCTCGAGGCTTGCTGTATTCGTATTACATCCATTCCATAGAGTGTCATGATTATATGCAGTATGCATTTGAGGTTTACAGTACGGGATGTTCCGTTTTGTTTTGTGCAGTATATACACAAATCCAATGCCTATAATATGTATACTGCTTTCGGTTTCGACTGAACAATTTTGTCTGTATGTCATAGTATTTTGAAGTCTCTGGTCGACACATTGATTCGAAGTGCCATAACATGCCTCTATCTTAGTGGCTTGCACCTTTGTGATACACGGATATGTTTTTAAACCTTGGTGTTAGGTAGTGTTGACTTGCAAATATGCTATAGACATGCTCAGTGATTTATTTGGAAGTTTGCCACCACTGAGTGAGGCTTTGGATGTATACGATGGTCTCCGTATTAAATGCGCTCGATCGTGATCATTGATCATGAAGATATGGACTCGTAAATTCGCCGCCGAATGGGTTTTTGATATATTATGTGTATGTGCACAATGCAAGTCCGGATTCATCCGCGCACTTTGGCTCGTATCTAGACAGAGCACTCGTATTCACTCTGATATATGAAGATAAATGTACTATTATCTCATGTGTGTACGGGAGAGTTCGTAATTTTTTTATTCCACTGAGTACTCAACATACTTATAAAAGTAGTACATATGTGTACGTGTTTCTGCGCGTGTGTATGTATTGTATCTTGCCTGACAGATCTTGCGTACATGTGTCCATATTGATGTGTGAATAGTCTTATTTTGCGTACCTATTGTTCGTGTACGTGTCCGAATTGCGTGCCTCTTTCTATCGTTCACAAATTGTATTTGCGTGCGTACTTCCGTGCGTGAGTACTTTTCGTATTCTTATCGTGCATGTGAATTCGGCTATACTGATCCTCTGATATAAATAATATATATATATATATATATATATATATATAAATGAGTGTGTACACGCGTATGTGGTTAGCTGTATCGCCAGCAATAAATGCGCTGTAGAGTGTGCTTGTGCCATTTGATCTGCGCATTGGAAATGAATTTATGGACAGGATGTACGTTTCCTGATATGTATGTGTGTTTGATTGGAAGGGTGCATATGGATGGAGATGTATGTATATGCCCCTATTGCCATGATACACCAATCAATCAAAGTCCTTACAAATAGATATAAAGAGAGCCAATCGTACTGGGAGTGTACATGCACATATAAACACGTTGGCACTGTATCAGCATATATATTTATATATATATATATATATATATATATGTGTGTGTGTGATTGTGTGTGTGTGTGTGTGTGTGTGTGTGTGTGTTCATATGTCAAAGTTCCATTCTACGCATATTTTAACACATCAGCTTCCGTATTCATAAAGACGACAACGAAATTAAGTATAGATACAAATTATGTAGCAAGATTGTTTTGTAGTACTTTCTAAGGCCGTTGTATGCTGATGATCATCTATGTACACATACATATTCGATTGATACATATCCGATTGCCGAGTCTGTTTGCTGTACAGTCCAAGCTAATAGTGGCACACTAACCACCATAGCAATCGCATTATGCAAATTCTCCAGGTATACAACGAGCGCCAGCAGATAGTCGACTATCGTGCAAAACAATTACTATCATATGCAGGTACTCAGCGATATATGATGTACGTATAAATATAATGCAGTATTCAAGAAACCTCTCAAGCTAACGACACATATTGTTTTGCATCATAGGTGGAACCAGAGGACAAACTTGTTCTCCAGATACAAAAAAAGAAGCTTCTAGGCCATGGACTCGTTGGGGAGGCCGTTGTGCCCAAGTTGGAGGAAAAGGAGGAGATGGAAGGTATAGCTTTACATCAGGATCCTAGGACCGCATGTGTTCTTTGTTATGTGTGTAAATTCTATCAGAAATTTTAACCGTCTTCGCTGGATACGCCAGTGTGCACGTGCATGGTTGAGTATCGTCGTATGTACCAAAAAGCTTACATGTATTCTATATAGATATCTACAAAGCACTATATATATATATATATAATATATAGTATCTGTGCGCCGAGCAGTTGCATTTTGCTGTAGTAGGACAAAGTGTTGGTCATTCTCTGCTTCGAGGCTTGATTCTCAGGCAAAGAAAGGAGTACAGTTAACCATGTACACCCGAAACACTGTCGACCTTTGGTAGTTAGATACCTTTAAATTGGCAGGCTCTGAAACACGTCTGATTCTCCACTCACTGCATAGTAGACCAACCTCTTACCAGAATGCTACTTGCAGAATCCTGCTCTTCCATGATACATATATTT